TCTGAGTTGTGCAAAACGTGTTTTTGAGATATACTGCTCCCTTGAAGAAGGGAACAGGCCAGTGAAACTACAGCTTTCTTTACACAGCTGTTTTTCTATACAGCGTCCATATCATTTGTTCCTACTTCAGCACTGCCAGTGTCGAAGGCGGTGCGCCGGGTTTGCAGTGTGCAGTCCCAGCTCTCCAAGTCGGCACGAGTTTTCCATTGATGTCGGCGGGGTCAGGGTTTCATCCGTAACCTAACTGCAGTCGCTACTTCTGAAGCACAGATCAGCTCTAAAACACGCACTCCATCGGAGAACTATCCATTATCCCCGCGTTTCACGCTCAGTACAGTATCCCAGTAGGTCTGTATCGCTAGCGGAGCTCAGTGCCGTATCCCTGCTAGATCTAGCTGCTGCTGTGACGCAGCTAGAACTCATAACATCAGCTTAGGCACCTGAGAGAAGTAAATGCATCTCTTTTTTATCAGCTCTGTTGTAATAATGGAAAGGAGACACGGGCCAATGAGTAGGTGCACGGATGGGGCGGCCGGAGGCGGATGTCGGGTTCCAGGTGCCTCCGTCACCGCGAGTTTTGTGGGCGAGGGGCCGAGGGAAGGGGCGTACGCTCCGGCCCTCCTTTGCACGTGGGTTGGTCCCTTTCATCCACCAGTCTCAAATAACAAGAAAATCGATTCTCTAAAGGAGTGGTTTTCTGCAAGAAACTTTTCCTCATGTAATTTATAAGTTTTCTTGTTCATTAGAGGTTTATGAAGGTTGATGTTTTGATGATAATGCAATACTTGCATTTTTGTGCGACCTTCAGGCCCTGTGCCAGGGTCATAGCATCGTTTTTTGAAGTATCATATATGGATTCACAATAGCAGAGTTCTTCTCCAGAGCTTTCAGATTAAATATAGCACTGGTTGATGAAGAGATGTTGCATCATGTCATTCAGAAAGTTTTAAGTAAATTTACTTTTATTTTGTTTTCATGTTTCCTAGCATGTTTACTAGTGTATTTTTAACTCTTTACAATCCCTTCTGAGTCTGTGAGAAGAGAATTCAAGATTTAGTCTTGCTGAAGTAACAAGATTTGAAATGGTGAAAAGCATGTCAAATGATGCCCATAAGTGTTTTGCTCTTCAGAGAGGTTTTTCTCTAGCTATTCACTGCACTAATATCTCTTAGTTGTTGACTTCTGCCTTATGGCACTGTAATGACGAAGCAATCATCAAGGTTTATTGAAAAATTAACATAAATTTGCATTCCCTATGTTTGTTTTCTGTTTTGTCCAATTCATGAATGTTCTTTTCATCCTTCATCTAATTAGTGATTTAATTCAATGCATGCCTTTTTAAAGAGTGGCACTGGCAAAAGAGAAAGAGGCTTTTACACAGTCCAAATTGGGGGGGGGGGGGGAGAAAGAAAAAAAAATTTTCTCGTTCAAAGCTCTTGCTTTCGCAGGAGAGAATTTTGGGACAGTGCATGGGGGGGGGGAGGAGAAAGAAAAAAAACATTTCTAGTCTTGGCAGATTTAGTAAAAAAGCATTCTCTTTTCTTGTGCAAAGTCATATACTCCCACTGTTTTCCAAGCAATAGTGTGGTTTTTTTAGACAAAGTCTTTGCTAAAAAGTTTGTTACTATGATTAAAAAGTGCATATTTTCTTTCACCTGCATAAATTGAAGTATGATGGACTTAACAGAGCTTTTAATTTTTTTTCCTAAATTGTAGTTTGCAGGAATTTGCAAAAGGTTTTCCAGTTCTAGGGACTTTAATTCAGCAGTATTTCTCACCCACTACCTGTAAACACAGTGAGAGAGTGGCGTGTAGGGGAGTTGAAGCAGGGTATATAGATTGCTGTTTGCATGAACACGGTCTCACCGAACGTTGTAGGAAAGGCAGACATGAAACAAGTGGGCAGTAGATATGCACGTGGCTGCGCACTTGGTTTGGAAGGATTATCTTTTATACCATAACTAGTCTTTCTTCACTTTTTTGGCAGTAATATTAAAAATTAGGAGACATGCCAAACAATTGAATTTAAAACATAATGCTCCCAGGGTAAATGAGCTGTCCTCTCTTCCTGTAAATTAGCGTCTTGCCCTTCCATCTGGGTCTTTGTACACTTTTCTTCAGGTGTAACCCACACAGGGACTTATTAGCATTCGAAGGTTAGAAAAGATTTATCCAAAACAGAGCTAAGGTCAAAGGGCACCTACCATAGATCTTTCTGGCAGTAAAGAGGGTTGAGGGACTTGGTGAAGCAGCAGCTGAACAAGATTAAGGTAAGTCTAAAGCCGGATGCCGTTTTCCTGTTCCTGGGTGACGTCAGCGGCAGCCTGGAGGGGCGGAAGCGGAGCCGGAGAGATGCCGGGCGCAGCCTGCCGGCACCGCAGGAGCCGCCTGGGCAGGACCGCTGGGGCCAGTCTCCGTTTCTCAGTTCCAGAAAGAGACGGGGTAAATGTTCCGGTAAATAACGCAGGGATCCCATCTCTCCAAAGGTACCTGTGATGCCCTTGTCCTGTCTGTGCCGGGAGCAGAACCGAGGGAATGATCTGGTGCACGAGTTAGCTGTTTAGATGTGTTGAACTCACGTTATAAGTTGTACCTACATCATGACGAACACTGGTTATAACAGATGAGTTTCTAGAATTGCACTTGCTTTCCAAATGTTACAGCAGCTAAATATGCATGGGAATAACATGTATTTTCCATTGTAGAGCTGATAAAGGCTGATTGCAAAATATTAAAATTTCCCCATGTTCAGTTAATCCTTGACGTCAGGTACCAGGCACAAGTGCCCGCCCATTCCCTCCTCTTCAGTAGCTCACGTTAAATACGCTTTTTGGTGGTCTCCCTATCCGGCAGTGAAAGAACGGGAGTTGAACACTTGCCTTTCAAGCAGAAACTGAAGGAGGACAAACCCTTGTTCGTGAAGAAGGGATTGTAATGAAGCCATTCGTACAAGATCTGCTTTTATTTTAATTTTAGCATCGTGTATGGTAGAAAGCGCTTGAGCTACTGTTGTCTATTTCCAAATATTCCTATATGGAAATACAAAAACACTGAAGTTCCTATTGATCTCTGAACTGTCAAGGGTGGTGCTCTATTGGAAAGAGGTACATCACATATTTAAGTACTCTTGGAAATGGAAATCAATCTCGCAATTCATAAATTGCGTCTGGCTAGAATAGTAGCAGAACAAAGTGCCAGTTATGTTTTCAATGAACTAATATTTCACGCAGGAAATAGTATAATGTGGACATGGGAGCACATAAACATAATACTATAATGGAGCTTTCTAAAGAAAAGTCCTTTCAGCTCCTTTCCAGTAAATCACCTCTCAGCGCGTATAATGCCATTACGTAGCCCGCAGCACAGCCAGTGCGTAACTGCGGCAGTCAGGGCTTCCTGCCGCCGTCGGGGCCGTTTGCTGCTGCCGTGTGATTCCTGAGGCTCGTTTCAGGAGGGCGAGTCCGCCTCCGGGCCAGCACCTCGCCCAGGAGGAGGGAGCC